TCGAAACTCCACAAAACCACTCCTACAAATTATGATTTTCTAAGTGATAATATTGATCCATCAATCATGAATGTTATTTCTCAGAATTTAACATCACAAAATCCACAGCCTGACCCAACCCAACGGCCCAACTCTCCACATATTCCTCATACTGGGCCGCGGTCTCACACGGGCCCAGCCACTCCCACTTCTTCTGCTACTCAGTCCCGACCCACTCCTCATGTAGCTCAGACGCTACAGCAGCCCCCCTCTAACATTTTCTCCTATCTCGGACTCGCCCACCTCATGTGGCCCAATCCCTAGCCTAAATTCGTCACCTTCATCCATGTCAGCACCACACTCCTCTCCTAGGGCCAATAACCCCATGCTCCACCGCATGACAACTCTTGCTATCAATGGTATTTTTAAGCCAAATTCTAAGTACTCTATCAATTGTCATGCGACCACCACTAAGGCTATTTCTTCTATTCCAAAAAAATCCTAAATATATTCTAACAGTGCCAAATTAGCTCGCACGCCTTCACTGGCCCTGGGACAGCATGCAGGCAAAAAGCCTCATCGATGGACAGCCGGAGATTGCACTGAACATATTTACTTTCATATCAAATCACATCCCATGGATTTTAAAAGATCGTGGTTCCAGCGTGCGGGGGAATTGCACCAACTTTTCGTGTCCCATCTTTCCCCGGTCAACCAGCAAGAAAGCTGCTTTATAACCCAAATTCATTACCAAGAAACCTAAACCTCCAAAGACCAGGCCTTTATCATTACGATTTACGCCTTCTTCAACGTGTGGCTAGCGAGCCTACTTTTCTGAAACCACGGTTTAGAGCTGAAGCCTTGTGTTAATTCATTCAATTGCAAGCTGAGTCAAGAAATATAAAAGCCACATAAAATCATGATTAAGCCAATATGATCACCAACAAAAGTCATGAAACCTCTAGCATATTTACCGAAAAATCATTAGATTTTTTTTATTTACGTGTCAAACATTATTAGAAAAAATATTACGGATTTAGTACCTTTTACAGAAAGATTCGCACCTTACATTGACGTGGCGTCGCGTTAGTAAATCATCATCCGCGTCTTTCTAGGATGGATGTTAAATCCGTAAAATTTTTTGAAACGATGCCTGATAGGTAATTAATTTCTATTATGATAATTTTTGTGTAAAAACGTGAAGTAGCTAATCAATTATTGTATAATAAAATTAAGTATTATGACCATAAATTATTAAAATAATAACTTAGTTATCAAAATAAAACGGATTAAAAATATAATAATAAAAAATATTTTTTTTAAAAAAATCAATGTTGAAAATAAAACATATTAAAATATTTGGTACAATTATAACTCGTGTATTTTCAATTATTATATTAAAAATTAATTATAAATTATGATAAAATGTTGTGTTTCTAAAAATAATAATTAATAAATAATAATTCATTTGATTTCTCAATTGTAATTAAAATTTTATTTTAATATTTTTTTATATTTTTAAACAATTAATTTTAAGAGTTAAGAAGTTTTTTTTTTTTAAAATATATGAAATTTATAATTTTTTAAATTATAAAATATTTCTTTTTATTATTATCATCATCATCATTTTGAAAAATAAATACTAGTTATAAAACTTTTATAAAATTATTCATATTTTAAATTACTTACTCTCAAAGTTTTCCTAGACTAAACTATATGTATATAAGTTGAAAGGGTGTATATAAGTTGAAAGGGTCAAAAAGACATTAGAAAGTGTCAAATGGTAATTGGTATACATAATTTTATTCTGTAATTTCATGCAAAAATCAAAATTTGTCGAGTTATAAAATAATTTACAAAAACATATTTAAAGATTTTAATGCAGAAAGTTTTTTGAAAAAAAATGAAAGAAAATCATTTTTACACAAATATCACCTATTAATTATCTATTCAACACCGTTTCAGAATTTAATTTTACAGAAATTAATTATCTTTATTTAAAGTGTTAGATCCGTAATATTTTCTCAAATTACACATAAATATAAAAAAAATCAGTAATTTTTCGCTAAATACACCCCGTCTCTCTTTATTTCTCTAGCTCTGTTTTATCTCTATATATGTAGTCCCATCCTTTCACTGTTGTGCTTCACCAAAACCAAAAGGCTGTTCACACCTCTGGCTGTTAAATCTCAAGCCATTTTCTCATAAACCAAACACATTAGGGATAAAACCCAGAAAGGAGGAAAGAAACAAAGACACAAAGAGGAAGAAATGGGAGATAAAGTTGATGGTTTGGGGTTAAGTCTGAGCTTGGGATGTGTGCAGAATCAGTCTTCTTCGAAGTTAAATTTCATATCTTTAGCTTCACCCTGCATGCAGAACCTTCAACAGATAAATGTTTGGAATGAACTGTTTCAGTCTTCTGACATGTCTTTTTATATATTTTTTCTGTTTTTTTTTTCTAGTAACATGAAATCTTAATACGCTAAGATCTGAGGTCTTATTGAACTGTAAAGAAAGAAGCTCAGATGATATGTAGCCCATGGGGTTCGTCATACCACATATTTAGCCATTTGTGGTTATCATATGTGTGTAGATCGACAGTCGGATACAAGATCATTACGTGCTGGAATTGACGTGAACCGAGCACTGGAAACGGCTGAATGCGAGGAGGAAGGTGGGCTGTCCTCGCCCAACATCACCGTTTCTAGCAATAGTGGGAAGAGAAATTAGAGAGACGTTGTGGGTGATGAAACCGAGGCTGAACGACGGTCGAGCTCTCCTTCCAGTGATGATGAAGATGGCGGCGGCGGTGAAAGCATGGAGAAAGAAACTTAGGCTTTCAAAGGAATAATCTTTGGTGCTTGAAGAAACCTTCAAGGAACATAGCTCCCTTAATCCGGTTAGTTACTATGATCTGTCTTTGGTAACTGTAGGCATAGTCTAAGAAGTTGATGTCTGAAAAGAAAATATGTTTTGTGTTTTTATAAAACAGAAGCAAAAGTTGGCACTGGCGATGCAATTGAACCTGAGGCCTAGGCAAGTGGAGGTTTGGTTCCAGAACAGAATAGCAAGGACCAAGTTGAAGCAGACGGAAGTTGACTGCAAGTATCTAAAACGATGTTGCGACTATCTAAAAGAGGAAAACATGAGGCTGTTAAAGGAAGTGCAAGAGCTCAGGGCATTAAAACTCTCACCGCAAGTCATGTACGTTATCCCTCCCACAACTCTCGCCATGTGCCCTTCTTATGAACGTGTGGCTGTCGCTTCATCCTCCGCTGCCACTTCCACCACGAAGCAGGGCCACTCGAGTTCCTGCCACCCGCGTCCCGTGCCGATTAGTCCTTGGGCTGCATTGCCGTTGCCCATTACTCATTACTCATCGTCTCTTCAGTGCCCCTGCTTCTAGATCATAGTTTGAATATTTTTAGGAGGATATATAGATCATCAAAAGAGACAGCAAAGTGAGAAGCAGTGTTTTCCATGCAAATTTTCTGGATGGCTAAATTGAATTCCTATAATGACTTATTCCTGTTATTCAATCTCTTGAATGTTTTATAAAGAAAATTGCCATTAATATAATTTATTGAGTAGTTTCAAATTAAAAGAAACACCTAACACCGAGATAGAAACCACGCCTTAAAGGATGACACAACATAACCGTAGTGTTGAAGTTGAGTAGTATTTACGAACTACTTGAATTTCAATTACCTGTATTAACATTTATTGGCTTTATATATTTTCTTTAAATTATATGTGTTTATGTTTGTATGGTTAGTATTAGTGACTATTCTTATTTAATGTTCATAAATATATTTACGAGAACATATTAGACACAATTATAAAACTTTAAAATAAATGGTGGTTAATTTAAAATTAAATAAAAATTTTAAAGATTGAATTGAATAAAATATAAAATTTGAGTGACCTGAAATTTTATTTATTATTTTAAGATATAGTATTCTAATTAAAAACGTTACTTGGTGCGTTTTAGTTGATCAATTTTGTTAATTAATGAAGGTTAATAATTTGAGATGAAATTATAATAAAACTAAGGGTAAATTATGTGTGTAGTATCTAAATTATTAATTTTGGTATGTAAACTTTCAATTTTTTAAAAATCATACATAAAATTTAGCTTTTGTTTCATTTTAGTACCCCGTTTCAAAAATTAATGTTAAATTTTGAAAGTTTAGTTACTAAAATGGATTAAAATTGATAGTTTATTGTCATGGTGGGAGGAGAAAGGCGAGAACACGAAGAGGGTAAGAGAGAATTGGGGGAAATGAGACGAGGGTTAGGGATTGAGAATGAGGGATTGGGGATTCTGGCACGTGAAGGAAATAAAGATAATTTACCTCTGGAGCAGATCAGCAGGAGTAGATTGGATATGAAGAAGCTAGAGCGGCCCAAGGGAATTAAAATAGCTGAGCCCAATAGTCCATATCTGCCAAACAAATGAAGAATGAATGAATTTGTTAGATTCAGTTACAAAGGACAGCCAGCTGGCATCCTTAAGATTCTGATTGTAACTAAATAAAACGAGCTGGATGTTGTATTTTCCTTATGCTATGAATGAACAAGCAATTCTTCTCTGAAATCTCTAAAATTTCTCTCTATTCCTATTACCTATTTCTCAAATTTAGTTTTTGTTTCATTTTAGTACCCCGTTTCAAAAATTAATGTTAAATTTTGAAAGTTTAGTTACTAAAACAGATTAAAATTGATAGTTTATGTACTAAAAGCGTTAAGTTTTTAACCGCAGACTACTAAAATGAAACAAAAACTAAACGTTATGGATTATTTTGAAAAAATTGAAAGTTTAGGTACTAAAACGGACTAAATTGATAGTTTAGGTACTAAATATGTATTTTACCTAAAATTAAAACATAAAAAATTTAATTTTTTTGTAAATAATTACATAAATTAAGTATGATTCAAGGGACAGATAATTAAATAAGCCTTTGTTTTAATTAACTTTACTCTGTTCGGAACCAAACTGTTATTTCCTTGGTTTCAAAGTCTTCCTTTCTTCAATCAATCAAAGTGTGATTCAATGTCCTTTTTTATCCCCGTTTTCAATTCACCAACAAAAGCAAGAAACCCAACAAAACAAGCTGAAGCAGAGGAGCTTTTGTCGTTTAATAATGGCGGATTCATACCCTCCCTTCACGACCAGACCCTCCACAAAGGCCAACACCATAAACAGAAACGACAGTTGTAATAACTACACGCGCCGCTTTCTTGGTAAGTTTATGTTTTTCACTTTCTTTCTCATCGCAATCACATTGTTCCCTTCCCAAGCTCCGAAGTTCATCAACCAAACAGTGCTAAACCAGTTTTGGGAACTCCTCCATCTTTTGTTCATTGGCATTGCAGTTTCTTATGGCTTGTTTGGTCGTAGAAATGTTGATGATGTTACTCATGATGATTCTCAGTCGAATGCTCCTGCAATTTCTAATTTTTCGTCTGTTTTTGAAGATGGTTTTTACGATTATTCGATGTACTGTAGTGGACAGGGTAAAGCCGGGATTTTTAATGTTAAAAATGGTAGCTTTGAGAACCCTCACGAGGAAAACGTTGTTCAAGCTTGGAGTTCAAAGTATGTTCAAGGGGAACCCATGGTTGTGTTGGCTGAACCACATTGTGAATTGAGTTCGTTTATTGATCATAACCCTTTGGGGTTGCCTGTTAGGAGCTTAAAATCATGGGTTGAAAGTGGGGTTAGTTCTGAATTTGGCAATGGAGTAAGCGAGTCTTCTGGTAAAAGTGTGATGGATTCGTCGGATAATTCAGATAAGATTGAAAGTTTGGGGTTTAGTCATTTAGGGTCTGAAAATTTTGAGGGGAAGTATGAGGAGAGTGATTTAAGGTCTTTAAGGACGAGACAGAGAGTTGGTGGTGGTGCCATCCTGCCTACTCATTTTAGGCCACTCTCAGTTGATGAAACTCAATTTCGATCACTCAAATCACAGTCTTTACATTCCCAACTTAGTTCATATTCACCGAGTAGCCTGTCCGCCTCACATTCGAGTTCATCCGAATCACCGAATTCCAAAACGACTGAATCCCTCAATGAAGGGAGTTCCCATCAGTCGTTTCCCCATAGGTCGGTGAATGCATCGCATTCTCGGCATTATAGTGATGGCTCATTGTTGGGGACACGCACTAGGAAATGCTTCGAGGATGAGCTGAAGGGATTCTGTGACAGCAAAAAGGATGATTCACCAAGTAGTAGTGGTACTAAAGGGTGGATTTCAAGTTATCCTTTAAAATTTGATGCAAAGCCTGTAGCTCCCTCTAAAGCTTCCCTGAGAGGGAAGTCTGTTAGGATGTTTCGGACCTTTAGAGGTAGTGGCAGTGCCAGAGGGCCCAGGGAAAATCATCCCAACAAACTATCCTCTAAAGGTGAAAGTGAACCAAAATTTGGACATTATAATCTCTCAGTCGGGTTCAAAAGGCTGAATCTTGGAGGTAACTCTGACATTCAAAACTCAACATTCTCTAAAAACCATAACCGAGAACAACGAGAGTGGTCGGAGAGCGAGGATGAAGGTTTTCGAGTGAGCTCGGGTGAAGAAACCATATCCGGGAGTTTGAGTGTAGCAGGAAATGATAGTTATGAGGTTGATAGGAAGGCTGGTGAGTTCATAGCCAAGTTCAGACAACAGATTAAGCTTCAAAGAACAGCATCAATAGATTCACTGAAAGGGCTCAACACATCTGGTAACTTTTTCAAGCTCGCTTTGAATTGAGGATTCTTCGTCCTCGTGTCCTAGTATGGTGACATAATTATTTATTATTCTATCTTGTATTAACGGTTATATAGTTGAAAATAAGATTTGATCAAGTTTTATGCAGAACCATCTAATTCAACTGTTGCAACGTGTTTTGAATAATTCATTGTGTTTTTCAAGTTCATCAAGCTGTTGAGATTTTGCTTTGATTTATTTGTGAGATTGATTAATATTATACTTATGTCGAAGGCTATTTTTCTATCAATAATATATAAAGTATTAAATACAATAATAAAATATATAATATTTTTAAAAATCTATTTAAATTTTATAAATAAATTATTAAAGAAAAACATCGGCTTCTAAAACCATATTCTACTTATTGTTATTTTCACTCTTCCCACAGTCCGACTACGTAGTATTTTATAAAAGAAAATATATTTAATGTAAATAAATATTATCTTATGTAGTGAGTAAGAAAATTTAAATTTTATAAATAAACTATGGAATCAAATATTCATGAACTGAATATAAAACAAAAATAATTATTAAGCTTATTTGTGTTTAAATTTTGAGAATATATGCGTAGAAAAATTAGAAAATAGGATAATTGAAAATTATTTTAGGATTTAATTCAAGTGATGAATTTCATGAAATATATTAAAAAATAAAAATTGTCATACGAAGTGAATCAAAATTGTATGAAATTCATCATCTCTACGCAACAAATTTTAAAATTATCATCACCTAAATAAGTTTAACGTATTATAACAAATGATCTAAATATTAAAATAATTTTCAAAATACTTTTTTTTCGAGAAAAAAAAATTCCCGTCTATATTGTTTACCTGAAGAACCCATTATGTTAAATAAAATGGCCTACCAAAAAATCATATTTTATTTTCGTGGACTGAATTATATTATTAATACATACGGCAGCCATTTTGTCAGCAATCCGATTATTTCCCAAGTTTAAGATTATATTTTAATGAAAAAAATAAAAACAAATACTAGTTTCATGCGTCATTATATTTAGGGTTAACGTTCGATCGATAATAGAGTTACGTCAAAAAATTTTGAGTATTTGAGTCAAAAGTCTTATTTTATAACTTAAAATTGACTTAAAATTTTTTCAAGTTTATTAAATTCGATCGAGGCAAATCAAATATTTGAGTTTCGGTTTAAATTTAATTATAAATATTTATAATAATATGATATTATTTGATTCTAGTCTAAATAATTTTTTTTATAAGTATATACAACACACATATATTTTTTCATACATGATATACATATATCATACAAATTTAGGGACTTGACTCAACCTAAAAAGTAATCAAATAATTACTAAAATTTTTAAATTATTCGAGTTGTATTTTACAACTCGATTAGAACTTAAAATTTTTTATTCGAGAAAAATTTATGAAATTACAAATTGAAGTCAATTCAAATCGAGTTCTCGAGTCGAGTCGAGTTGAGCCAAAAATATCGGTTTTTCTCGAGTCGAGTCTAGTTTTACTCACGCTTAATTACACTGTCTAAAAACGCCGTCGTTTCAAGAAGATACCCTCTGTGGCGTTAGGTTTTCGAGTTTCCTTAATCAAGGAGATTAGAAATTAATTACACTTTAATCGAAATCGAAATTACTGGGAGTTTGTTGATGAAAAGGAAAGGGGGAAAAAGAGTAACTGACTCAGCAAGAAAAGGGCCAAAATTAATGCTTTGTCTTTTAAATCCTTTAATTTCGAATTCGTTTTCCTTGGCATCTCCTCCTCTTTATTTTTTTCGTTGTCCTCTGAAAATTCCTCTCTTTTATCTTACTTTTCAATATCATATACAACTCTAGGTCAAACATGTTTTCATCTTTTCAAAGTTTGATTTTGCCTAAAGATCTTAATTTCTGTTGTCTGATTAAAATTTTCATCTGTTCGAGTTGATGTTCATGTTATCCTCTTTGTAGATTCCGGTTATTGGCAATTAAGATTGAAGGGTACTTTTTTTCCTTGTTAATTTGAGTGTTCTGTGTGTAATTTAAGGGTGGTAATTCTCCTTTTTTTATATAAGAAAAAAATGTCTGTATCTTTGTGAATTAATCGAGAGGAAAAAAAAAAGAGATGCATATTGAAGAATTGAAGGAAGGAGAGCAACAGGATCAAGATCAGAGTCAATTTTGCTGGGATAGCCTGGTTGTTTGGGATGCAAAGAGGGTTTTGGTGGGAGCTGGAGCACGTGCTCTTTTTTATCCAACCTTATTGTACAATGTTCTCAGGAATAAGATCCAGTCTGAATTTAGGTGGTGGGATCGAGTTGATGAGGTATAGTTTATCCTTTTTTTATGAAATACCTTTGCTGATTATGCGTCTATACCACGAATTATCGATGTATTTTTGTTGCACTTTGTGTAGCTATTGGGCAAGGGAAAGGGGGAGTAGAAATTATTATTATTTGTTGATTGTAGCTTAGTTTTCCTGGAATCCTAGTTGTTTAGTTTGCCAACGCACATAGATAGGCTGAAATTTATCTTGTCTGTTTAATTATGCTGATGATGGTTGATGCTGCCTCGAATTCAGTTTATTTTGTTAGGTGCCGTGCCTTTCCCTGCCGATGTTCCTCGGTTGAAGGATCTTGGTGTCTCCGGAGTTGTGACCTTACCGACATCGTTATATCATGTGAGTTCTCTTATGCTGTCAGCACCTATACTGATTCTGGCGCCTGCACAGCTGCAGGTATTGCCTATCTGGTTTATCAATTTTGTTTTGCACTTATTTAAGTGGCTGATAACTTGTTGGGCTTGTGTGGTACGTATTATTGCTCTGTTAAATGTAGGCTGTTCAAGATTACTATCTTCACAAGGTGAAAAATAATGGAATGCCTGTAAACTCTTGCCGCGTAATCAGAAAGAAAACCCCAACTGTACCAGAACAACAGGATGCAGCAGCCTTTGATGATGACTCCATAGTTGTGGTAGCAGAGTCGGACCTTGATGGATATGACGCTAGCTTTGACACAGATGTGCTTGATGAAGAGATGCCGGGCGAGGGAAGTCTTGCCGGCAGGTTGCAGTGCGCTAGTCACACAGCCATGACAAAACTTTCATGCCTATGGCCACGTTGCCGTGCGGATGAAAAGTCTTCTAGGAAGCTGTTGAGCAGTCTTGGTATCGACATTCGGGTTTATTGAGTTGTCGGCATCATCAACTCGATATGTTATGTCGAGTCTCTTTTGTGTAAACTTTTCAAGTTTTGTTTTTACATGCAATGTGCTTGTTTTTGTATTATTTTCATTTTCGGTTTGGTTATACGGAAAATGGAGTATATATACGAGGCGTAGAGATTGTGGAATCATGTTTGGTGACATTGGTTGGCAGTGTGTTCCATAAAAATGCTTCAATTTTACTGCAAAAGTTTAGCTGTGTAATATTCGGAAAATGTTCCATCTGTAATTTTTTTTTATCTCGTGAAAAGATGCTTTAATATTTAAAAGAAAATGTCATCAACTTTCGAGGTGTTTTGGGGTGCAACAACCTAATATAAGACTAAGAAAAAATGCGACCTAAAATATTATAAACAACACAATATTTTAGGTTGCATGTAACCTAAAATATTATATTTTTTTAACATTTTCGGTTGTAACTTTAAATATTATAAAAATGAAAACATTTTTAATTGCAACATAAAGTATGTTTGCAACAAAAAAAATTAATAAAAATTTAACATTTTAAGTTGCGCGCAACTTAAAATATTACGTTGTTTTATAATATTTTAGGTCCACCTTTTATATTAATGTTATAATAAGTGGTTGTACCATAGAATTCTCCTCAAATTTCTATTTCACTACACCTTTCAGTTTGGATAGAGCCTTGTGAATAAAATATTATGTTTGACTAAAATTCATGTATGTGATTTGTCATTGATATTTTTCAAATTAGATTTAAGTATATTTAATCCATTGAAAGTCAAACTAAGCAAAACCAACTTGGATTTGTTATTTTAAGTCTAATCTATTGGGTCATAGGATAAGTTGAACCTATAATTTTAGTAGAAACTATTACTGCATACGAGTATATTTTGATTAAACATAAAATATTTTTATTAATATATATATAATTTTTTATTAATATTGTAATACCTATCGATAGGGATAGAAACCCACAATTAGTTAATTTAGTGAAAGGATATACTAACTTCTTTAAATAAGAATAAGAATTTGAATCTTGATATTCATGAATGAAGTAAATTGGATAGAGAGAGTCCTCTCGTAATAATTTTTTTGTTAATATCCCTATTAATTAGTATGACATATTTTATTACGAATACAAAGGATTGTATACACGTTGTATAAACTCTAAATTTATACAACGTGCATGGTACATCATTTGATGTATTAGAACACAACACAAGTAGGATATATAAGTACTCGAAGAGGCGAAGATGACGCCTACTGGTCTTCATTGGCCTTATTTATTTGTCTCCATGACCTCCATCTTAATGGATGCTGAGAAATTACAAGGGGGACAAAAATAAATTGAGTTTAGGTTAATACCTATTAAGCATTCTTTAGTGTTGAGGTTTACGAAAATGTAAAGGAAGCGAAGATGAAGAGCTCACGTGCTGCAGTCGGTGTTCTTGGAGATGGGAAAATTAAATTGAACGTTGCACTTGGTCGGGAGAGATGCAGCAGCCTCTTCCTTGATGCAGGGCATACTAGCGGCGGTCTCTTTGACGCAGTTGCAGGCCGCCTGCTTGTCCGCGGTGGTTGAGGCGATGGTTTGGAGTCTCGACACGCTGCTACAACAGTCAGCCGTAGGAACCGCTTGGTTACCGGTAAGGAAAGGAATGCAGTGCACCAATGTGCCTCTAACTTGGTCGCAACTCACAGTGGCCGGCTCTTGGATACTGACAAGGAAACATTTAGTCATTAGCCGTTCTATTATAATGTTAAGGTTTATACAAATGTAAAAGAAGCGAAGATGATGAACTCACTTTTTGCAATCGGTCTTCCTGGAGATGGGGAAACTAACTTGAACGTTGCACTTGGCCGGCAGAGATGCCGCGGCATCTTCCTTGATGGATGGCATAGTAGCGGCGGTGTCCTTAACACAGTTGCAAGCCGCCTGCTTGTCCGCGGTGGTTGTGGCAATGGTTTGGAGTCTCGACACGCCGCTGCAACAGTCAGCCGTAGGAACCGCTTGAGTGCCGGTAAGGAAAGGAACGCAGTGCACCAATGTACCTCTAACTTGGTCACAGTTTACGGTGGTCTGCTCTTGGATACTGACAAGTTACAAACAAAGCCAAGGAAACATTAGTTATTAATCGTTCTATAATGTTAAGATCAATAAAAATACAAAAGAAGCGAAGATGATGAACTCACTTCTTGCAATCGGTGTTTCTGGAGATGGGGAAAATAAATTGAACGTTGCATTTGGCCGGGAGAGATGCGGCGGCATCTTCCTTGATGGACGGCATACTGGCGGCGGCGTCTTTAACGCAGTTGCAAGCCGCCTGTTTGTCCGCGGTTATAGTGGCGATGGTCCGGAGTTTCAACACGCCACTACAACAACCAGCCGCGGGAACCGCTTGAGCACCGGTAAGGAAAGGAACGCACTTGGCCAATGAGCTTCTAACTTGGTCACAACTTACGGTGGCGTCTCCTTGCTTTACCATGAATTGAAACATGACTAGCATCACGAAAACTGAGATAGTAGCACCCTTCATCGTTTTTGGTAGTAGGAAGACTCGGTGTTTGTGTAAATGTCTAAGTGATCTCCGATGAATGGTAAGCCCAGACGCATGAGGTATATATAGCAAAGCTTGGGACTATTGAGAATTATGAAATGACAATAGCCGTTATAAGAACTTGGCAGCTTCTTCGCATTCAAATGTCATTTAGCTATCTTGAGAAAAGTAAAGAGGTTAAGCTTTGTTGCGTCATCTCTGCGGTTTCACTAGTTCCTTTAGCCGCTCTAATGCATGCATGTCTCGTTTTCTACCCCACGCACGCCAACATGAACATCGTTTTATGTCCCTTTTAAGATTTATATTTAGGGTTCATGGTTATCTTATAATAATATTATCTTTAAAGTTTAAATACATTATTTCGATCGAAATATTGCGGGTTTTAACTAAAAGTGTAAATGAACAAAATGTTTGAAGAACTTTTCGTTTATTATGATATATAAACAATTACTGACAAATTTTTATGTTCATTTAATAAATAGATAAACATGAAAAAAATGTGTTCAGATCATTTATGTTCACAAACAAACTCATTTACAAATTTGTTTATCAATTTATTTATATGCTCGTTTATCCGATTTTACTTTTAATTTTATTTTTTGCATTTTAAATATTAGTGAAGATAGAGACTTAATTAAACACGTGATGAACTTTGGAATTCAAATTGTGGAATTTAAAGAATTTCACCATTTTTTTTAAGCTTGCTAATAAAATGGTTAAAAGTGAGAGCTGGTTGTCAAGGGGATTAGAGCCATACAAAAGAACATACTAACGAATGCTAGACAAACATATAAAATAAATATGTTTATGAATGTTAAACAAATTGAACACAAATATTTTAAAAAATAAACAAACCAAACATAAAGAATTTTTTTTAAAAAAAATACGAACATAACTTTATTTGTTCAAACCATGATAATTTATACTCCTACTCTGTCTAATGTGGACAAGAATGAAGAAGATGACAGTTTCGGTGCATTGGAATCATGTTTATTGAAGATTTGCTTTATCAAAGCCACCGCCTTGGACGTCTCTTAGGTGTCTGCCCAAACTCTTAAGAGTACAAAGGTTTAAGCTATCTAGTAATTAATAATTTTTAATAGATCATAATAATTGTTGTAGATAAAAGTTCAATAATTAATTTTCTTAGAAATAATTTCTTTTTAAAAATATATAACTTTTTAGATAAAATACAAAATTTACGACATTGATATTGTTGTAGATAAACTCTACAAAGATGAATGATTCTGGGCATGTGTTGATTGATTTACACTGCTTACAGTGATGCGGCAAACTCCCCCTGGAGTGCACGGCTGTCGGAGATGTTGGAAAAGGGTTAAGGTGGAGGTGGAGACGGCGGTGCCGCCGTGGGGGACGAGTTAGGAGGTCATTTCGTCAAGTATCTTAATAAAATAGCATTGTCTTACATTTTGAAAAATGAAGTCCAAAGAATCCGTGAAGGATGTCATTTTGTGAAAAACAATTGACGAGATAACATTCTGTGAATTAGGATTATCATCGTATTAACTATCGTGACATGACAACATTGTCTTGATTTAATTTTAAAAAATGAAGGAAACAGATTATGATTCTGGGACTCAAATTCCAGCAAAGTTTCCCGAAAACGTTGCAAATATTCAAGTGCCGATCCCATCGGATCCAGTACTGCTTCCGTTGCTATCAATGTTGATCAGTGGATGTTGAATATCTAGTGAAGAAACACAGAATACAAGTATATTGAATAGAGAATGAATACCACATCTGGTTTACAACTCCTCTGCTGTTTATATACAGCTCTTCATAGTTGTTATAGTCTTAACAGACTTTGTAACTAACCATTAACAACCTCAACTAAACATTAACAGCCTTGACTGCTAACAAACTTCTAGAATCACTAAACAACATGCACTAACTCATTATGCTAACAGTGGATAACGTTTGATGAATTATTTGACGCACCGGAGTCTGCTGCTGTTGATGTTCCAGTTCCCAACTGTGCAGTGACTCCTAGGGCGACCACTGCGATCCACAAGCAGCCGAAGAAGCTGCGTTATAAGGGTGTAAGGAGAAGGCCATGGGGGACGTACGCAGCAGAGATAAAGGATCCTAAGAGAAATGGTGCCTGGATCTGGCTTGGCACTTACGAGACGCCGGAAGATGCTGCACTGGCTTATGACAAAGCAGCTTTTAAAATGTGCGGCGCAAAAGCCAAGCTGAAAGTGACTCCTAGGGCGACCACTGCGATTCACAAGCAGCCGAAGAAGCTGCGTTATAAGGGTGTAAGGAGAAGGCCATGGGGGACGTACGCAGCAGAGATAAAGGATCCTAAGAGAAATGGTGCCTGGATCTGGCTTGGTACTTACGAGACGCCGGCAGATGCTGCACTGGCTTATGACAAAGCAGCTTTTAAAATGTGCAGCGCAAAAGCCAAGCTGAATTTTCCTCATCTTGTTGGCTCAGCTCAGGTGGAGCCGGTGAGCGAAGATCTCCGGAGCCTGGCTCATCTTGGCCATCGGCTCAGGTGCCTTCCTCTAGGACTCCCAAGTAGAAACGGAGGATTAGCCAGATTAATTCGATATTTGAAACTGGGTTAGGAATTGAATTAAAACTAAACTTATATCAATCAATGTCAACTGAATTTCAACAGATAATTATCCGTTAATGGAAAGATCATTTGAATTGCAAAACTTTATTCGATTTTGGTAAACATTTTAGCTCATTTAACTTCTGTATTTATAAAAGGATTCTTCATGGTGTATCTGACTAATTAAAATGTTTCAGCCACACCACCAGACCAGGTGCTGTTCTTCCCGACTCAGAAAGGAATAAACAAAGGCTTCAATACAAGTTGGTGTAATTCTAGAATTTTAAAGCAACAATCACAAAAGCAGGCATGCAGCAGTATCCATGTCCCAAAAGCAGATTCATCTGTAGCTGAGATGTGAACAAAAATCTGGCTATTCAACTAAACATTGGTTCAATCGGTTGCTTTTCTCTATCTTCACGGTCTTGGATGCCGTCTTCTGTATTATCCACACCATTAGACATCAGTGAAATGCAGTTGGTTCAAGGAATAGACTCTGATCCAAAGTTTTCTCAATCCAATTAAGAAGCATAATTTTTAGAAGTTGAAATAACCAAATATTTACTGAATTCAAGATGGTATTGAAATAGGTATCAATATCAGGCCACTGATTTCTAAGAACAGAAAACCATTGGACGCCATGAAAACCACACTGACTCTTCAGTAAACAGAGAGAGAGAGAGAGAGAGAGAGAGAGAGCGAGAAGGAGAACATGTTTAAGGATATATAATGGAAGTTAAAAAAAAAACTAGAGAAGGAAATACCTCTTTGGTCGGCTTCGGTCTTCTTCATAGTCCATCACTCCACCAGGTTCAAAGTAGATCTCTTCGATCCCACAGAAGTCAACTTCAGCCTGCTTACAGTTGGTAACCTCTGCCACAATGTAAGTAAGCCACATCGACCAACATATCTTGATATTGATTGAGTGAAGTTGTGGCATGCTAAATATAGATCCTAACCTCCTTTGCATCTTAACTAGGAAGTTGCAGCTTTAAGATCCAATGTTATTTGTTTGGGCATTTTTTGCAAGAATTAAAGGACTCATTCCGACCATCACCCCCCACCAAAAGAATTAAAAGTGTGAATGTACATCAACAACTACCATAGATGTAATTAGTTTTGTATTCTTCAATGCTTATATAAAATTAGTTTAAAAACTAAAAGACAAAGAAAGTAATGAGAACACTTTCAGCCCACATTAACGTTCTCGTGTTTTTTTAATGGTTCAATACCGAATTATAGCAAAAGGGCAATCGATATAAAACTCAAACTAGATTCAACTGACCTTGGCAGAGATGGACTTCTTTACTTCTTCCACCCTATCTTCAACCTCCTTTCGATGTTTTTTGTCCAACTCACTCATATTATCTGCCCATTTTATCTTCTCTTGAATTGAGATTAGTAAGTTGTCTGATGTTTCCAACCTAGGTTTAAAATTCAAATCCATAGACAGATTTATTAATATTATATATATATATGCCGATTTATCAAATTTAACTTTTTATTCTGTCAGGTCTACTTGGACAAAATAGCTCTAATGAAAAAATCGAAAATGTAATAGAAAATCACACGGTAGCAACTATAACTGCAGCATGGACAGAGGTCTTAATGAAATGCTCTATTTGAACTACAGATGTTACCAGTTTGACAGTGTTTCTATCATACTCCCAAGTTGTCCTGGCCTCAAATCCCTCCCAGCAGCAAATTGGATCTTCCAGAACAAATATTAAAGATTTTAACAAGCAAGGAAAGATAAATGTAAAGGAGAATTCTTGAGAGGAAAGGCCAGTGAACTCATACCTCAAAACATCTTCGCAGCTGATCCAGCTTTCCTCTGACTATACCCTAACAAAAAGGTTGGGAAAAATGAACAAAAATCAGCACACTTTCAGTATATTTGCACCTCTGGTAGAACTCACTTCCCTTAAAATTTAACAAAACACCCAATGGGAAGGCAAGTGCCCTGCCATCCCCTTCTTTCTCAAATCTTTGTGAAAGCAGAGCCCAGAGTATGATCTAAGGTATTGAGTTTGACCACCAAAAGAAAGATCAAATAGCTGTAGAAATAACTGTGAACAATGCAGGGCCACTCTAAAAGTTAACCGTCCCAAAAAGACAAACATGAATGCAGAATTCTTTCACATGCAACACATTGCATAAAAAACATCCATTGGCAACCAAAAGATCATGTTCACAGGGCCTCTCAAGGCCGTTCCAGTAACTAAAGCATGTCATAATGGAGTAAATCCTAGGATAAAAATTAATAGAGAATTAAGCCAGGAGTCTACCCACCGCATACATGCACTCATTGATAAGAAAATCTTCAAGTTCACGAACATTGGTGACATCTAACTCCAGCATTAGTTGATCATATGGTAATACCTGGTCAAGATATTTAAATGGTAAATGAACTTGATGCAACCAACATTTAAAACCTATAGTGCCCTTGTCAGACAAAGGGTATATCCAATTCAGTTAGA